CTAACACAAGCATTTTAAGCTGGTGGTTAAGGGGAATATTAGTAATGATAATATCATTGCTAGTATTTTATCAGCCCTTTTTTACGTGGTAGAGCCATGCTGCAGTTATATCAGTAGTCCAGGAAGGACCACGCTCTCACAGAATACCAGCGTAAAATAGTAGCTTAATGCTATTGTTTCGTATGGTGAGTGTAGAGAACCAGAGACCCTTTTTACTGGAAACGAGGCATTTCATCTTAGTCCTCACGGGTGACAACGCGTCTGCATTTTTATTTGTAATCGAGGATAGATGTAGATGTCTATGGGCCGCGCAACCACTTACCATCAGGTGGACTGTGTGCTCGTTTGTCACCCTATCCTATAAAAAAGCCCTTCTTGATTATTGCTCCACCACCTCTTATATGTTCCTCTGTTTAGCTTAATAGTTGACTGATAGAATTCCCTATGGCATTAAAGTGCACCCTATGAACTATTTTGTGCATGAACGTAAAATAACAAATTTAAAGAATTTAGATAGGTACTAAAATTTACATTAAATTATTGGTCAATAAATTTAAAATTATTAGATTCAGGAAAGTCAATTCGCAACCACTTATAAATACTTAATGATGTTTGTGGGGTGTTGTAATAATTGTTTCTTTTCTTTCGTTTTTTAAACAAAACTGGTTGATAATTTTTTTTTAATTTCTAATTTTAAGGAGGAGCATTGGCAGACAAGAAAAAGATAAAGGGTATCCTTCGAGAAGAGTACGAAGATGCTGATCTGCTGCTTTTATGGATAATATTTTCGACTCAGTTAATGGCAGTTTTTAAAAGAAAAGATCCCAAAACTCGACTTGGACCTGCAACAGCTCACTCCATACATCACAAAACATGTATGGATGCCAAAAAAGTTTTTGCGTCTATGATGTGTATCTTCCACTGGTACAATTTATTCCAACTGTAAACAATTGGGTGTGGCCACTAGAAGGGATGGAAGTTTTATTAAAAAAAAAATTGAAATTGATTTTGGCATTACATCAGTTTGGTTGCGTCATCTGAATCAGGACCCACTGGAAAATTGCTTTGGATCTGTTAAACGCCATGGATGCCGTAATATTAATCCAACTTGTGACCAATATGAGTCAGCTTTTGCCACCCTTTTGATTAATAATTTAAGTAGAGTCCACACTCATGGTAAAAACTGCGAGCTAGATTATTGTAATGCTGTGCACACTCATTGTTAATGAAAACTTAGAGGCATCGTCAACCTGCACATTTGATTTCACAAAAATTTTAGAAATAAACCTCACGCCAATTACAATGAAACTAAATATAAACATTGTGTTAACTGTAAATATGCAATATTGTTATTTTAACAGACTCAAAGTTACAGGCTGACTCCAGAATAGTATATTTACAATGGATACCTTCAAAAAGCTGATATTTTAGCCAAACAAGCTATTTCGGCTATTTTATTAATTTTACCCCTTCATTTCAAAACTATATACCTTTACCTTTATTAAAAAAAATATTGTTATGACCTTTGGAAGAAATATTTTGACGAAAGAGCAAAAGAAAAGGGTATATGGTACCGTACGATCCAGCCGTACCCAATGCGCTCAACCTGGATAGATAATGGAATATTGTGTAGACCCGATACTGTGATAGCATTAAGACTCAGATCTGGGCACATTCTATGCAATAAATTTTTGTACTTGAAGCGAAAAACTACCTCACCAAACTGTTCAACTTGCAATGTTATAGATGATGCTTATCACATTTTGATAGAATGTGCCCAGAACTCCATAGAAAGAAAAAAATGTATTTTATGTTTGTCATTGATTAGCAGTATTATAATAATAGTATTTTTTCAGACCCGTTATCAGATGATGCCAAAAAACTTTGTGTTAGTAAATAAGAGATTAAATAATTAATAAGTTTATTTGTTAGTATTTATACTATTTAAGAATTTTGTTGTACCAGGGCGTCATAATCGCTTCAGTGACAAAGCCCTTTTTCTAAGAATAAAAAAAAACTGTAAATATGACCTATTTTCTGAAGATGAAATAGAATACCTAAAATACAGAGAATATGCAGGTGGCTTTGTACTCCATGCAATGATTTGATTTAATCAATTTCAGATATGCGGGATATAGTCAAGCATATTTCAAAGGACAATTTTGAAAATGATCAGTTAAAAGAAATTATGAAAACAAGCATATTATATACTTTAATTGATTTCGATTTTATGAAATGTAATGTGCATAAAAATAAATTAGTAGATTATTTGATAAATATTGTGATGTGTTGATTTTTAATAGTTTTAAAAATAATAATAGAATATTGACTGGGAGAAAAGAAGTAGATGATGATAACTATTTCCAAATTAAAGCCCAAAGGTTAAGAAGTAAACTTTTTAAAAGAAAGAAATAATTACTCTTGTTGCTACCAAAATTGAGTTAATAATATTTAATTACTGTTACACATTTTATATATTCATGCGTTCTAAACTGATTTATCAATGATATGTAATAATAAATACGCTTAAATTGAACCACCAAATTATAAAAGTAAGATTAATGAGTCTTATTTTTTTTTATACAAATGTATTTTTATAATTAGCAGATATGTCGTTATTAAATAGGCTAGATATAATCTATGAGTCTATAGAATGCATTATTACAATATTCATCAAATAATTTATTTTTAAACACAAAGTCTATTGCTAAAGGTTGGTGATACCATAGAATACTATAATACACAATAGAATGGCTGTATTTTGTACGAGTTTGCTTTATTTTGTACGAGGAAGGGCGTCCGACAAACCCGATTCGCGGTGTTGACAGAGTGAATCTCATTAAAAAAAATCGTTTAACACATACATATTTATTCGTAAATAGTGTGCAATTTGGTATTTTCTAAATAATTTGCATGCAAAATTTGAAAACCATTGTAACCGTCAAAACACATATCGTGTTGACATTTATACGTGTGAATTGACGTATTAGTGACATTTTAGTGGCTCCGCCCACTCCCCCGTTCTATTATGTATGTATTATGGTATTCTATGCGTGATACTATGGGAATATTTGCCACAGTATATCAGGTGGGTTGGCAACGGCAGCATATTTTTTTCCGAAGAGGCTGCTACTGCTGGCTGTTTTAAGAGTAGCAAATTCTCTTACGCCGTCACGACTTATTACACTACAGGGCATACAGCAAAGAAGCATAACTTATTTTGAGCTTTAAATTATTTGATATAAGTCATTATATAATGTGAGTTTAAGACGTCTTCATTGCTAGCATACTGCTTTAATATTTGTTTTCAAATATTCATTATTATATAAATATTATTGCTTGAATATTTGTTTTTGTCAATATTCGATTCGATTTTAATGGAGCAATATGCAGAATTGCTTATTTGATTGGCAATTGGTTTAAAATTCATTTCAAAAAATTATAAATCGCCGCAATTCCAAAGGACCTAAATTTTACTATCATTTCAATTTAATAATTAAAAAGATTAAGAAAAACAAATATTCAAGATTGGATTTGATTTTAATTTGATATAGGCCGAATATGGTTGTCACCGAATACGAATATTCGGCCGAAAGTTCAGTAAAACTTTTACCGAACAGAATATTCGGCCGAACATTATTCAACGGGATCGCCTCTGTAACTAACCAATTATTAATATATCTAAACTGACGACCAAATTAAAGTGAAATGTACTAATTTAATTTAATGTTTTCTTTGTTTGATTCCAAAAACATTTTATCAAACTTTCTATTTGCTATAATCGGAAATAAATCTAAAGTACCTCGAAAACATAACATTTCAAGTAGACTTAACCCATAAATAAAATATACTTTCAATAGTAAAATTATGAAAGACATGACATTACTCAATTCGTACAATTCAAGTGGACATTTTTAGTACCATTTAAACGAATATTCGGTGATTTAGCCGCATATTCGGCCGAGTATCTTCGTCTCAATTTAATCGAGCAATAATGTAGAATTATTTTAGCAATTGGTTTCAAATTTATTTCAATTGCAAACGATCTCAATTTTATTCTTGACGCATTTTAAATACATATTATAATATAAGAAGTTGAGTGCAGATTTACATTATTTAATGTTTTAAATTTAGTTCTTATCTTTGTTTCAGGCTGTTCATTAATTGCTATATTTAAGTTGAATAAATGTACTGATATTTATTATTGTCATAACTATTATTGTATTTGTGTGCTGTTTTTTAATAAATCCTGTAAATATAATGTTAGTTTTATTTATTTTGATTTTAATTATTAATATCTATGATGAGAACAATAATATTTATACGTAGGTGCTACATATATATATATATATATATATATATATATATATATATATACGGCATGTGCGTATATATAAGCTTATATTTATAGATATTACAATAAAGTTGCTAACTTTGGATAGTAGAGGCGCTAGTTATGCATTGCCATTTTATAGGTCGAAGATTGGTCTCTATTTCAGTTTATACAAAGGTACTCTGTGGAAAGCACGTAAAGCTGTTGGTCCTGCACCTGATCTCTCTCCGGTCATGTCGGTTTAGAATAGAATAGAGAGTGCACTTGCGCTTGCGCATACACTTGGGCACTATAATCTGTCCTGAGCTGATGGCTAGCCTCCGTTGAGGCAGGCCTCCATGGCCATAATTCAGTTTGGAGGACATTACATGCTCACTAATCCAGTATTATAGGAGTGAATCACCCAATGCATGCCAGATAGTTCATTCTAGAAAAGACCTATGTCCAGCTAAATGGCAAACAAATAAAGATGGTTAACGAAGGATTAAATCATTGCTGTTTTACAATGTATACTTCTGTAGGCATATTAAAATAAAAGAAAAAGAAATCGAAAATATAAAATTAACAAGTAACATTTAATGTTAGCACAAACAGCATATTAAATTTTATATCACACAAATTGAAACTAATTGTAATGCTTCAAATAAAATAATCATTTCACTTCAAGTCAATCATCCCACATTTCATGATTAGGGTCAGTCTCGGGTAAATAATCCTTCTGTAAAATAGGTTTTGGTGTAGTCAGGGATCCTGTTAGTCTTGGAGGTTTGTCTTGAGGAAATATAGCACTTTTAGATGGGCAGTTCAGAACATGAGTTCTCATTTCAAGTTTTGAAACCCGATGTGTAGCGTTATAAGGGCATATGTTAAGTTCTGGATAGTTTGGCTGACACTTTACAATATGAGCTTGGATCCGCGAGCGAGGTACACGATGAGCAAAGTTGTACGGGCAAGCAACAAATGGGTCGTCCATGGTAGAAGTATCTGGCGGCAAATTAAATTTTTAATCCACTGAATAATATATGTTAGGTTTTTCTATACGTCAATGTACTGGAAAATTTGTAAACCTGAACTGTGAACTGATCTTACAGGACTGTAACATAGAACTCCGAAAAGAAAATCTAAGCTAAACGTAAAAGTTTAAAACTTTTTATTTTAAATGTTATCATGTCAAAAAAAATTTTTTATTAACTGGCTTTACGGCTCTGGGTTCTAGCCCTTCTGAGCCTAAGGCTGGATTTAGTGCTATGCGGACGGTCACGGACAATCAATTACTGTGTTTAGTTGAACACGGCCTGCGGAGCGTCCGTCTATCCGGAGGAAAATAATCCGTCGAGCGCGTCCGTGCTCCGCACGTCCGCATCAGGACGCGCTAGGTATCTATACGAAAGCGTTTAGTGCTGTGCGGACGCAGACAGATCCGGACGTGTGTGCGGGACTGTCAACAACGACAATGTCTGCGGAGAATCTAGACACAGAACGGGGATTATAGGATCTTAGCGATATTTTGTATAAATATCGTGATGCGAAACTACAAGCGTGGACAGAAGTATGCCGAGCATTGTTTCCCAGTTATGATGATTTACCAGATAAGGAGAAACAGGAAATTGGTAATTATGTACAATAGTATAATAGGTAGGTGCAATCCGCGAGGCCTGCTTGCATTTGCGTGAGTGCACATACCTACATAGTGTAGGTGTGATGTCGCTCTAGAGTGCGACACGTACTTCGCTTGGTTTGAACCGGTTTATACTGCTTTTTTGCGATCGGCCCGAGGCGCACTCACACAAATGCGAAGCTCAGAGACCTCGCGGACTGTACATAGATATCATTGAGTAAAATACGCTCATTATTTACATCATTTAACTACTTTATTGAAAATTTTCGTATAGGTAATAAATTAAAATATTGAATTATTTTGCCAAGGCACTGCACCTGCGGTAGATACAAAATAACTGGCGAATCTTTCTCTCAATGCGTCGCCCAATCTGACAATTATGTTATCATGGGTCTTGTAATCCTTCAATAATAAATGTATCCTCTTCTCTATAGCCATCTCGCTCTCCAATGTAGTTGTGTAAAATACAACAAGTTTTTACGAATGTAATAGTTTTCGGCAGAGACGTATTTATTGGTCTATGAAATATTTTAAATTTATTTGTCATTATTCCGAACGTAGATTCAATATACCTTCTTGCACGACTTAACCTATAGTTAAAGATTTTTTTTGTGAGTCAGATATACCGAATGCACCATCACCAATTATCACGTGCTGCAAAGGTACAGATTTATTCGGCAATGGTTTAGCAGGAGGAGGAGGAATATTAACTGTCCAAAAAATTCTTTCGCATTCAACATTAGAAATGGATATACATATTAGACGTTTAACAAAGTTAGCAAAATTTTTGTATTTAGGAAAGATTCTACTACTAACAAAATTACTCAATTTACCCCAAAACTGTTCAACATTTACAGCTGCACTGGTATTATAACAGAAACCATACATTAGGTTTTATACTTCTGAATCATACTTAATTCAACGATATTCTTCATCAATCAATTGTCTTGTGCTATCATTTGTAATTATGTTTGGGAAATCGGAACCTCTTCATAACGCTTATAAGAAATGTAAAATTTTCATAACCCGTTTCATTCATTACAGCCCTTAACAAGTCCAACGCTGAACGTAGGCCTCCCTCAAAGAATGCTATAAAGAACGGTCCTGAGCCACCTGCATCCATCGACTTCCTGCTTGTTTTATCAGGTTGTCACTGTATGTAGTGCGGGGTTGCCCACCGGCACGAGGCTGCCACTTGAGGTTGTCGTTTCTTCGAGCTATATGGTCGGCCCATTGCCACCTTATCTTACTAATCCGTTGGACCGTTTTCGGTCACTCTGGTTCTACTGTGTATCCTTATTTCTAAGTTTATTATGCAGAGAAACCCCGAGCATAGCCGTTTCCATATTTCACTAAGCGACTTTGAGCTTCCTCATGTGGCCAGCAGTGAAGGAATTTTTGGTGTAATATAAAATTATGATTTTATTCGTTAATAGAATTATGGCCAGTTTTTGAAAGACTGATCAAACTAAGATTTTAATTCAAATTTAACGGTAGCTAACTGTGATCGATGATAGTGCAACATACATAGTAGATAACATTGCACAAGCCGCGAAGAAGATTAGTTCTTACTATCCGTCAAGTATCATATTCCTCTAAAACATGCAGAAGTGTAATATATAGGGCAAACAAAAAGGTAAATTAGAACCCGCGTAAAAGAACATATAGCTGACTTGAAGTATCAACGTTCCGGGAAGTCTGCAGCTTGTGATCATATCACCATGAAGTCAGATTTGATAGACCACAAATCCTCGCGAAAGAACATCGATTCCTACCAAGGATGATGCGTGAGGCTACTGAAAAAAAAAACATCCTAATGTCAATAGAGATGAGCCGAATATTTGTTTCGTATTGGGTATTCGGCATATTCTGCAGCTTTACCGAATATTCGTATTCGGCCGAATATTCGGCTAAATCAGCGGACAATTGTTAAAGTTGTATTCAAAGTATCCACTGTATTAAAATGTACTGATTGAGTCAAGCCATGTCTTTCATAATTTTTCTGTTAAAAGTATATTTTATTTATGAGTTAAACCAATAAATAAAATTTTTTTATTAATTGTTAAATAGCGTTATGTTTTTGAGTCACTGTAGATTTATTTCCAATTATAGCAAATATAAAGCCAGATAAAATGTTTTTGGAATCAAACAAAGAAAATTACGTTATATTAGTACATTTCACTTTCGTTTGGTCGTCAGTTTCTCTAAAATAAGTCCAAAAAGTAGATCCTGCCACTCATTTCTACTAACACAAAGAAATACTTTTTTCTCACAAAAATAATCAAAATATAATTATGTGAAGGCGATTTGCCCAGTACTCAGTACAGAGCGAGGGGCAGGGTCCAGCACTAATCCCGCGCGCTTTACAGTAACAAGTTTCGACAAAAATTGGTTAGGTACCAAGCTGATCCTTCCATCATTATTTTATCAAAATTTTCGATTCGGTAAAAGTTTTACTGAACTTTCGGCCGAATATTCGTGTTCGGTGAAATCCATATTCAGCCAAACTATAATGTTAATTTTTATATTATTATTTTTATTTTAACTTGATATTATAATTTTAATTATTATAAATTACTCTTATCTAAATTTTTTTAAATATAAGCTGCGTAATACCACCAGCTTGGGACTCTGTATTAATAAAATTGAAACTAAATACAAGCATTCCACTGCAAGACTTCAAGATACAGTAAGTTCATTCTGGATCGCTACGTGCTAAAGCATAACCCGCCTGTCCCTGAAAATTTGTAGAATTTATAGCCAAGCTGCCGTCAGGAAGCACTATCAGAAACATTAAAAATGGTGAAATATTATAAACAAAATAATAAATCAATAATAATTAATAATTTATATTTGTCATAATATATAATATTTATAATAATTAAAATTATAAAAAACAATTTATAATTTATTTATTAATTAATACTAATAACAAAAAATTAATAATAATCATTTCGTTATTTTCTTTTTTTTTTGAATAATATTAAATCATTTCAAACCAGCGCACAACAGCCCGCTTTTATTTAACAACTTAGCGATAGCAGCGCCTCACTTATTTTGTACATATTTCTGGGACATTATTTTCTACAGCGAACGTTCTCCTGTTCTCTAACCTCCATGTTCTGAGTTAACACTGTAATCGGGACGACAGTCACTTCAGTCGCCCGTGACCACAGAGTACTTTTTGTATACCTGAAACCCATGATGGTTAGAGATCAGGAGAACGATCACTACGTACTAAAGCATAGCCCACCTGTCGTTAGTAGTGACTGCGAAGTTAGCTGTTTACGAGTACAAGTAGGTACAAGTAGTTAGTTGAATATTGTACAAATTTTCATTTCATTTTTTCGTAGAAAATTTTCATGCTCCGTTATTTTGTAATTTTTGACAAAAAGAAACATTACAAAATGAAGAAATATTTTATTGTGTGCGGATGTGCAAGTGGTTGAGCATCTGATCGGAAAAATAGACTGAAAATGACTTTTATTGACTGCACTTAGTGATCGCAGCGCCTCACTGATCGTGTCCATATTTCTGGGACACTATTTTCTACGGTGATCGTTCTCCTGTTCTCCCGTGACCATGGGTGATGGAAAGCAAACAAAACGTCAGGAATATAAAATATAAAAAAATTAATTAATTAAACGCGATAAAATCCGTAAAATTATTTTTATTGAAAGAATAAGATTCTTATTTTTATTACATAAAACTAGTTTTTAAAATTTTATGGTGTATATTAATGTTTTTATATTTCCTACGTTTCTCTCGGTATACAAACATAGAGAAGATGATCGGGTGTTATCATCTTTTTGGGATCCTAAAGTTGATAAAATTAATTCTCAACTCAAGAATACAACTGCAAGACTTCAAGTTACCTACTATAAGTTCATACAGTGTAGATTGGAACAAAAATTAATAATTTTAATCTGTGGGTAATCGCAGTAATTTTTTTATTAACTGGCTTTACGGCTCTGGGTTCTAGCCCTTCTGAGCCTATCATTTCTTTCGGAATCCTCATTTTATATTTATTTTCTTCACAATATACTGATGCGTCACATTGTGAAGCCCTTGGGAGATTTTGACGACAGCTCGACGCAGAGGACAGTTGATGATGACAGCCACTTAAGTTCATTAGCCGTCCAAGCGATCAAAATAGCAGCTTGAGGTATATATCGAAATCAAAGCACTTGTTTCGTCGTTTTCTCTAATAGTTCACACGCGCGGACACTTAATTCACAAAATCGCATCACTTTTATGAATCCAATTCCAGTTCAAGCCATTATTAAGCGGCAAAACAGGAGCGACAATCCGTCTACGGCCAAGTTCCCGCCAAAACTCCAATACGCGTAGGTATTTTTTTTAATTAACTGGCTTTACGGCTCTGGTTTCTAGACCTTCTGAGCCTATCCTTTCCTTGGGAATCCTCATTTTGTTCTTTTTCTTCACAATATGCTGATGCGTCACATTACGAAGCCCCTGGGGAGATTTTGACGACAGCTCAACCTAACGGACAGTTGATGACGACAGCCACTCAAGTTCATAAGGCGCTGAAGCAATCAAAATAACTAGAGGTTTATATCGACATCAAAGCACTTGTTTCATCGTTTTCTCTAATAGTTCGTACTTGCGGACACATAATTCACAAAATCGCATCACTTTTACAAATCAAAATCCACTTCAAACCATTATTCAAGCGAAAAAAACAGGAGCGACAATCAAATCAAAAACCTCAATCGCGGTTAAGTTACGTTAGTACCATGGAGTATAGAGGTAGGGAGAACAACCTCTCATAGGAGAATAGTTGAAAATGTGTCCATCCGTAAGCAGTAACAGTAATAGTAAAAGTAATACAGTTCAAAAACTCTCTACTACAGCGCTCGAGTAGCTACGGGGTATGTTAAATCGCCGTAAAATAAGTTGGGAGTGATTTTGAAAGTAAAAATTTTGAAAGCATAAAAATACTTATCGTAAAAGGAATTATGATGAAAGTCTGTGCAATAAAAAATTATAAAAAGTTCTTTAAAATTTAGACTGTAGCTACAGTCGCGCCACCCTTATTTAGCGCTTTCCTACGGACCCTTTTATACAGAGTCTGTACTCCTTACCTCTAGACTCCATAGTTAGTATTCTTATTAGTTTGTGATTATAATTTACCTATGCTGCCAGCACTGTTTGTCAAAAATTAAATACCATGTCTCTACACCGCAATAAAAACTAGTAGTACCTTACTCCGTGGAGCGGGGTTTCTCCATATACGGTATTTTATGCTTTATATTTATTTTGTTTATTACAAAAATGTAATAAACAAAACAAAATTACTATAAAATACGCGGCGTCAGTCTATAGGAAAAACCCAAAAAATCCCACTCTTCGAGTGATCAAAGGTAGCGGCCACCACAGAACACTAATACCCTTAGGCGGGGCGTCCACTATATAAAGCATAAAATACTATAATACATAACAGAATGGCTGTCAACCTCATTTTGTACGAGAATCGGCGTCGCCGGGATCACACATACAAGCAATTACGTCGTATTATCTGTCATCAATACTATACACCCGATTCGCTGTGTTGACAGACTGAGCGAATTTACTCATTTTAGACTTTTGATTAATGTTTTGTCACATACATATTTCTTTATTTTTGTTTCTAATATTCACAAAATATAAATAGTTTCGACTTACTGGTTGTAGGATATGTCTCCTTTATTCAAATTCCATTACCCGCTGTTCTTTCGACACATAATTATTGCACAATTTGCCATTTTTGCCAAATTTGCCATTTACATGCAGCGACGCTTGACATGAAAATTGGAAAAGATTGATTGTGTTGACATTTATAGGTGTGAATTGAAACGTTAGTGACATGTTAGTGGCTACACGGGCTCCGCCCACTCACCCGTTCTATTATGTAGACATTATAGTATTTTACGATATGCCGACTAACTTATTTTAATCCAATAATTATAATTTATTCTGTGCTAATATTTAATAGTAATATTGTTGCACGACACAGTTGAGGGCGCTGGCGCCATCTCGTATCAAGTATCAGAAACAGCAGTGTCAAGATCTTTCTGGAACCTCCCAACAGCGCCATCTAGTAATAAATGGAAGAATTAAGCGTTTTAGAACCCCTTTAGGGGTATATTTGTTCTGTGTTTTAGAAGCCCCACACTTGAACTTTCTGTGCCTGGTCAGTCGGCGTCCGTATTTGCTGGAATATTCTGGATGTTTCGGTGGAAGAGCCCTATATACGTAAAGCCGTTGGTAGCCGCGATCGGGGCAGTATTGAATTTGGCAAGACAAGTGAAACTTCGGAGCAAATAAAGTGAACCAAAAGTGATTAGTGTGATTACTTATTAGTGTTTTTTTTTTCAAATTTCAATTGGTGTTCGGTAATTATAGTGTTAATTTTGGTAATTCAATCGGCAGTTTTTATTGTCACGAACACTAAGAGCTCGAAACAATATTTAAAAACATGGGAAGTTTTATAAACATATTTTACCTACGAGAACCTGGGGTTACTTATATTAAAAATCTTGGGGTAAACATTTTGGTAAGGGCTGGCAGCACTGAGGTCTTTTTGTCACTGTCACGTAGCTTGCTAATCGTAGACAGCACTCTCTAGTATATATCATAGATAAATAAATATGTACAGTAATCTATGGTAGACAGAGAATGCTACTGTCTACGTTGCTAATGCTATTATATTTATTTATTTATCCATGCTGTCATCACAAATCAAAATTTGAATTTGAACCAGAAGGAAGCTGGAGTGGTTATCTATCCACATTAATAAAGATAAATATCAGTTTGTAATATATTATTTTTTATTCTTAATAAATAATGAATGGTTTAAGTAAACGAGCAGAAAAAATGTTAGGTGCGTACGTTTATTGTTATTTACTGAGCAAGTTTATAATCTAACTACTAATATATTTATACCTACCTATTACTTTCTAAAGATATTTTAGATAGAAATAATAGACATCATCATTTTCATAATATAGTTTGAAATGGTGAATATAGGTTGAACAATATAAAACACTTTTTATATGAGAAGAGTGAAAAATTAGCACACAGTCCGCCTGATGGTAAGTGGTTATCTTAGATCTTATCATAGAAATCTACATCTATCCTCGATTACTAATCAAAATGCAAATGCGTTGTCACCCATGAGGACTAAGATGGAATGCCTCGTTTCCAGTAAAAAGGGTCTCCAGCTCTACACACTCACCATATTCTGTGAGAGTGTGGTCCCTCCCGGTCGAGCCGACCCATTTGTGCTATAACTATATTACTAATATAACTGCAGCATGGCTCTACCACATATATTGCGAGTCTTCTAAGGGTATAGGATTATTTCTTGCTATTACAAATTATGTGAAAAACACTTTTTTATTTTTCAGATGATCATACACCTAAAAGAGTTAAAAGAGTGTGCTCCTATGGAGATAAATGCTACAGATTGAACCCAGCACATTTGAGAGAGTTCAGTCACCCTCACTGTTAGTTATTCTTTATCTATTTCTTCGGTTCCTAAATAATTCTGAGAGCCATGGTAGCTAAATTGTTAATTGCAAAGTGCTGATTTACCACATGCTCGGCGGTGAAGGAACACATTGTAAAGAAACTTGCATGTGTTAAGACTAAAAATATTTTCAAATACATGTGAAGTCTGCTTACACACACTGCAGCAGCTGAGTGGACTAACTGCAACATAACTCTCGAACATGAGAGAATGTGCCAACATTGGGACATTAAATGGATATATGTGGTAGCCGCTTAGTAAAATATCAGGTTAATGCTGCCATGTTTCGTGTGGTGAGTGCAGTAGAGGACCGGAGATCCGTTTTAATGGAAGCAAGCCATTCCATCTTAGTCCTCGAGGGTGACAATGCATTTACATTTTGATTCTTAATTAACGATAAATGTAATGTCAGTATGCTACAGTATCAACTTACCATCAGGTGGAATGTGTGCTTGTTTGTGACACTTATTCTTCAAAAAAAAAATCATTTTGTTTTCTTCGACTTAAGAAAGGTAATTTCGTTAAATAGTCACATACCACTCTTTTTAATCTACTATCATTTCTAACTGAGGTTCCTCTGACCTGAGAAGAAACTTCATTCTTCAGAAAAATTTTTTGTGTAGTTTTTTAGAGACTGCTTTTTTTGCGTAACTTGTATAATAAAAAACATGCTGTGAACGTCAAATTTAGATTGCCTGTTATTCGAGATGCCGATATCCATTAGTCCACTATTTACAGATTGCTAAGAACTGAGAAAGTTGAGGGTAATGAAAAAGGTCTACGTTCACTAAATTGTTTGTGATGCATGTTATTTATTTCTTGGATGTCTTTTTAAAAACTACCTAATCTACTTCCTACTTACTGTTCTACACATAATATTTTTCCATTTTTGCTTTGTATTGGAGACTTAAAAGCATCCACTATCCCCATATCATTCCTTGTTTGTTCAGGCTGCTCAGAAGATGGGCAGCAGCATTGTCCTAATAAGTGTTTTTTTATATAACAGGAAGGCATACAAGAATACGGCTCACCTGATGGTGATTACCGCCGCCCATGATCAACTGCAACACCAGGGGAGTTGCAGATGCATTGCCGGCCTTTTAAAAAGGATAAGGCTCTTGTTTTGAACGTCCCTAAGTGGTATCGGTCCAGAAAAATCTCTGGTGGTAGTCGATTCCACAAGGAAGTTGTGCGAGGAAGAAAACTTCTTTTAAATCGCACAGTAGCGGACAGCCAGTCATATAGATGGTATGTCATACAGATGGGTGCCGCGAGTTTTGTCGCGATGTGCGATGGTGAATGAGCCAAAGCATTCACTGGTGGTTATCTATATAGAAGTCTCGCTTTTGGAATTGCACAAGTCATTAGAATTTCTGTTCAGCCTCGGTATGCCTATTTCTGTCACCAAATAGCAATGCATGCGCTCCTGTGTACCGGTCTGAAGGTGACAATGTATCCGAAGCCTTCTTAGTTTAAAGTTGTTTGCATCAGGCGGACAGTAAGTCCGTTTATCACTTAAGTTTAATAACACAAAAATGTTATTAGAATTTGACATTCGCAGTAGCTTCTAATAGTCTATACTTTTTTAAAAATGTTATAAAGGTGACAAACAAGCACACACTCCACCTGATGGTAAGTGAATACTGTGGGTCATAGATATCTACATTTATCCTCGATTAGGATCAAAAAGGTAGATGCATTGTCATCCCTGAGGACTAAAATGAAATGCCTCATTTCCAGTAAAAAGGGGTCCCGGATCTCGACACTCACCATACGAAACACAGCAGCATTAAGCGGATATTTAACTAAGTGGCATTACCACAAAATATATTCATTTATTATTTAAAGAAAAGTAAAATTACAGCTTATATATATGTCCCAATGTTGGCTGTTCTCTACATTCACCATGCGAGACAGCAGTATTTAGCAGCTATTTCACGCTGGTATTCTGTGAGAGCATGGTTCTTCCCTGATCGAGCCGACCCATTCATTCTACAACCATAATATAGCTGCAGCGTGGCTCTACCATGTACAAAAAACATGTACACATATTAGAAAACCATTAGTTTTTTTTTAATTCATAATACTCATTTATACAAATTTTATCACTGACAGTGGAATCAATATTAGACAACTACAATGGTGAAGGTGATTATCCAATACCAAAGGAACTTCTGCCGCAAAGGCATCTTATTATGGACCAATTGCAAATTATTAAAGAAAAACAACTGTATATACCTGTGAATAGTACTGTACAGGAACAAAAGGCACAGTAAGTTGTTTTTATAATTGTTTTTATAGAATGTGACAAAGTAATATACAGTCCACCTAAAGGTATGTGAATGTAGCCCATTGACATTACATTTACATTAAGAATAAAATGCATCCCTTGTTTCCAGTAAAAAGGGTTTCTGGTTCTCTACACTTACCATATGGAGTGGGGCTCCCAAACATTAATAATATTCAGCAGTATAACCATGAATACTATAATAGACAATAGAATGGCTGTCAACTTTATTTTGTACGAGGCTTGTCGTCGCCAAACCCGATTCGTTGTGTTGACAGACTAAATAAATTTTGGTTTAAATATTTATTTGTAAATAGGTTGCAATTTGGCATTTTCTAAATAATTTGCTTGCGAAATTTGGAAACGATTGTAACGTCAAAACACATCTCGTGTTGACATTGATTGGTGTGAATTGACGTGTTAGTGACATTTTAGTGGCTACGCGGGCTCTGCCCACTCCCCCGTTCTATTATGTATGTATTATAGTATTCTATGAGTATAACATTTCTTATACATATTTTGCGAAAACTTTGACACCAATGCATTGTTGCTCCTGTATTATATTTTCAATAATGGTCTGTAGTTGATTTTGATACGCAAAAGTGGTGTGATTTTGTGTATTAAATGCCTGTGCACATGAACTATAAGTATAAATGGTGAAACAAGTGCTCTGATGGAGAGGTGAACCTCAAGTTATTGTATAGGCGCCTTGAGATACTATTGTCTGTGATTGTGATTGTCTGCTGACTCAAGCACCATAAGAACAGAGGTTTGTGGTTTCAGTTGTCAGGCGCGAGGATAGGTGGGCGAGTCATTGCGGTGGATTTTTATTATGTAGGGGGGACCGCAGTTTGTGATGAGTTTAGCCTTAGGAACGTATGCTTTTTATCAACTCTCGCCGAACAGAGTATGATAGAAGTAACGTGATCCCTTTGGGCGCGGCGACTTTCAGTAGAAACGGACGGCTCGCGATAAATATTGTTACGAGCTTGAGGTTCGTGACAATAAAAATTGCCGATAGAATTACGTAAATTAACACTTTAATTCACTTTACACTAATTAAAGTTAAAATCACTAATAATTAATCACACTGATTCACTTTATTCCGCTCCGAAGCTTCGCTTGTCTCGTCAACTTCAATACTTCCCCGCTCGCATCCTGCAGCGCCTATAAATATAAATTAGCACCGAAATATCCGGAATATTCATGTAAACACGCGCAAGGTTCGAGTTCGAGTTCGAGTTTCAACTTCTAGAAGTTTAGTTCTTCGGTTCGAGACTAGATGGCGCTGTCGGTTGACTTAGGCGCGTAACACTGCCCCCTCCTAAGACATGCTCGTCCCGAGCATTATCGGCCCCATAATAACGCGCTAGGCGATCCACATGGACGATCTTAGGAGTCCCTCTTGCGCCTTTCTGTATCCGGTAGGTTACATCGTTGATCCTGGTCACAATCCGGTACGGGCCGTCCCATTTAGCTTGAAGCTTAGGAAATTTCCCTTTGCTGCGGACTGGATTGTGCAACCACACTAGTGAAGCTTCGTCGAACCCTTTGTTGTTCATTTTGCGGTCGTACCGGGTTTTCATCTTTTCATACATTTGCTGGCCCGATTGTCTGACATGCTCATAAATGTCATTCATTTTGTTCCGCAAGTCATTTGCATAATCGGTTATACTGCGTGGAGCATCAGGTGGTATCCCGGTGATCAGGTCCGCAGGCAGCCGTAATTCTCTCCCAAAGTTTGCGAAAGCTGGTGTCACTGATGTACTTTCGTGAACAGCGCTTCGATATGACAACAAAGACGGTTGTATGTGCTTGTCCCAATCTCGTTGCCGATTGTCTACAACTTTTGCTAGGTACCTCTCCAATGTCTGATTAAATCGTTCTACCATTCCATCAGATTGCGGGTGATAAGAAGTCGTTCTTGTTTTATGAGTACCCATAACTCGGCAAGTTTCCTGGAATATTTGAGACTCAAAATTCCTTCCTTGATCGCTCTGAATCTCTAAAGGTACTCCAAAACGACAGAAGACTTCATGAACTAGTTTATCTGCAACTGTTGAAGCTTCTTGATTTGGAATGGCGAAGACTTCTGGCCACTTAGTGAAGTAATCCATCACAACCATGAAATACTTGTTACGGCTTTCATTCTCCGGAAACGGCCTCGCCACGTCAATGGCTATTCTCTCCCATGGTGCACCAACATTGTACAACTTCAATGCACCTCTACTACGAGTCTGAGGTCCCTTTACAGCCGCATAACTTGTACATTTGCGACACCAGTCCTCGATATCGTTTCGACAGTGGACCCAATAAAACCGTTCTCGGAGCTTCAGTAGAGTTCGTTTAACTCCCAGATGGCCTCCTGAATAATCATTATGGTACAGCTGTAGAACATCCGGTACTTTAGCTTTAGGGACAACCATTTGCAAATGACAGCTGTCTTCCCGAACACTTTCCCATTTACGGCAGAGAACTCCATCCTGAAGCAACAAGCTGTCCCACTGGGCCCAATAGCTTTTAGTGGTCGAACTCATCGCTGAGACGTCGTTCCAATTGGGCTTGGGAGCACTGGCTTTCATCTATTCCAGAATCGGCTTGATGTCCGGATCTTCCTGCTGTGCACGTTGTAAGCTGTTCTTCCACTCGTTGCTGAGGTGGTCTGCCCTGAGCATCCTCACGGATACCACTTCCTTACTCTCTTGCCTAGTACAATGTTTGCAATCTTCAGGACAAAGTCTTCTTGACAATGCATCTGCGTTGCCATGAGATTTCCCGCTGCGATGTTCGATCTCAAAGTCATATTCCTGCAGTAGTTCAATCCACCTCGCAACTTGTCCTTCTGGATTTTTAAACTGCAATAGCCATTTTAGTGCAGCATGGTCAGTTCGTAAGTGAAATTTTCGTCCCAGAAGATATTTGCTAAAATGCTGCAACGACTTTACCACAGCTAGCAATTCGCGTCTTGTGACATAATAGTTCCTTTCCGGTTTTGACAATAACTTGCTGAAGTACGCTATCACGACCTCTTGGTCACCATTCCGTTGAGACAACACACCGCCAAGTCCTATATCAACTATAAATTCTTTGCTTTCATCAGGTGTAGTGTTATGTTATTTACATATCATTTTACATTATTTTAAATTTATTTTTCCTTTCTGTTTTTGATGTTCTGCATTCGCCTAAAACTGGATATTTTGCATCACCTTTATTTTCATAGGAGCCTGTAACGTTTTTAAACCATAAGAACACAATAACAAATCATTTTCACATCGTATTTTCACGTTATCAGCACTTTTTAAATCGGTGTCAATGGAGTCTACCTTTTTTCGGTATTTTATTTAGTTCTCCGTAACTCTGCAATTTCGGGCTTCGTGCGCACTGTTGCGCTACCTTTTTTCCTGTATCAATAATATCTCATTTTTCACTTAAATCTTGCCGTTTCTCTATTACGAGCCTAAAACCAAAATTTGACATGTTTTGACATCGTTGTTTATCTGGTTGTCATGGCAATTTTTATTCGAATATCGTTACCGGCCTGATGTTTTTACTTCAAAAATACTCTTCTTCTTGGCCATTTACAAAAATTTGCTTTTAATTTAAATAATTTCAAATAATTTCTCGTTCTTATCCCAGATCCGTCAAAAGTATAAAAGCCGAGGAATCGGCGAATAAAGGTTCTCACTTCAGCTTTGATACGAGAAGCACCTCTTAAAGGCTTTATCCGCACTGCCTCGGGATCTTGCAAGCCTCTGCCTTCTCCTCTAGTCGTCGCCTAGCCTCCACCTATTAGTGCCCACGCTATCTTCGGCCGCTGTGCGTGCTTGTCTCAAGCGCTGCGTGTTCCTACTCCAGACGCTGCGTGTCTCCGGCGCTCCGGGCGCTGTGTGTGTCTACTCCGGGCGCTGTGTGTGTCTACTCCGGTGTGTGTGTGTCTACTCTAAGTGCTGCGTGTACCTGCTCAATACGCTGTGTGTACCTACTCCAGACGCTGCGTGGACCTACTCCAGACGCTGCGTGTCTACTCCAGGCGCTGTGTGTGTCTACTCCGGGTGTTGTGTGTGCTCATTCTGGTCGCTGTGTGTGCCTACTTCAAGCGCTGCGTGTACCTAGATTAGGCGCTGTGCATCTACCACAGGCATAGCCTGTACATACATTGTTTCCGTACTCATTTATCCTTATTAACTTTTATTTTTTTTTTTAAAAATTGTAATTCACTATCATCACTACAGCCCATCATCACCCTCATACCTTTTTTTATATAAAAAAAGCTGTAAATATCTTTACAAATTTTAAATAAATTATTTTCTTTTTGGTTGTTTCGTTGTTAGGTTAAGTTCTATAGTTTTTAATTGTGGCTTTACATTTTATAAAAGAAACTGTAAATATCTTTACAAATTTTAAATAAATTATTTTCTTTTTGGTTGTTTTGTTGTTAGGTTAGGTTCTTTAGTTTTTAACTGTCGCTTCACGACACAGGGTATCCCAAAATAGGTGTTTTGGTCCCTCAATCATGGTTTCCACTTCCTTTTCACGTGCTACCGGCAATCTTCTTGGCCGCTGACGGATAGGCAATTCCTCTCCTGTGTTTATTTTGTGTTGAACTAAGCCAGTCTTTCCTATGTCAGCATTGTTTGATGAGAATACATCGGCGTACTTGAGTAACAACTTCTTCGCCTTGACCAATTCGTTCGGGGAGAGAACACTGCGACAGTCTTCCAAAAGTGTGGTCACTTTCGTTTCTGAATCCTTGCTGGGGGTCCCACTCGATATATATTGGCACCGACGTAACCAATCCACTTCCTCACAAGTACCAACCAGTGTGCCTTTTTCTATAATCTGTTCCCGGCCACAAAGGTTCAGCACACGTACTCTTGAGATGTCAGTGGTTCTGACCAAGGTTCGAGCTACTTTCCATGGAAGGTCATTGTTTACCCTTTCCACAAGTACACAACGGTGAGCTTGCCCAGCGTTTTGGGGAAGACTAACCGGAACAATCGTTTCCGATCTCGGCGGAAGAACAATCTTCTTAATGCTGTACACGTTCCCTGGTAACGCACCTTCCATAAAAAGTTCCTCCTCCACATTTCAAAACACCTTGCTTAACGTCGATCTCACAACAATTATTCCTCATAAAGTCTAGGCCTAGGATGCAGTCATCCATTATATCAGCCACGATGACATTATGCAGGTAGATCACGTTGCCTAGCTTCAACTCCATCTCCTTCTCTCCACGGACGGGTATACGCTGACCGGTGGCTGTTACCAAATTAATGCGTTCTCGGTTGTATGCGGAGTCCCCAAGGAACTGACTTATTAGTTGGGAACTAACAACCGTGCGAGAGGCTCCAGTGTCTATGGTCAGTTTACACGGCATTCCGTTGATCTCGCCCTTGATGATTAGGCTGTTCCCATCATGGGTTTGTGAGATCGAGATCCTTGGGGCTCTTTTAACATCAGCCAGCACCCGCCCCGCAGTTCTGGCTTTTACTCGTTTCCCTGCTGCTGCTGGGCGGGGCTGGTAGCCGCACCACCTTCCTGATATCGTTCACCTTCCCTTTCTACGGTTCGCTTAGGGCAGCTGGATCGAAGATGGCCCCTTTCCCCACAGCCATAACACCTTCCTGGGCTGTTTCCTTTATTGCGGTCGCGTACCGTAGCTGCTGCAATCTCCCTGACGCGATGGGAGCGAAGATCCTGCCGCACGGCTTCCACCTCCAGTGCATGGGCCAAGGCGTTCTTAAGCGTCTCGTGGTGCCCCAGCCCCACAGCAGCTCTGACTTCAAGGTCGCGGATGCCGTCGGTGAATGTCTGCACCAGGTTCCCTTCAATGAGCGCAGGTACAGACTGGTATGCTTTTCGAACCATCTTCTCCACCTCAAGGGCCCACTGCTGCAGGTTTTCGTTGCTGCGTTGCACGCGATCTTTAAGCTGCGCGCGAAAGACGTGTTCCAGGTGAGCGTCACCATATCTCGCCTCCAATGCCTCAAGGAGCTGCTCGTAGATCACTTTCTTACCGAGAGCTTCCAACACGGTTAAGGGTTGGTCGCGCAGGCCTAAGTTGAGTGCAGTCATGGCCTGGCTTTTATTCCAGCCGTTTGCCTCCGTGACGGCCTCGAACTGGATTTTGTAGGCCGACCAGGAAGAAGTCCCGTCGAACGGCGGCACTTTGAATCCACGTAGCGAAGGTGCTGCAGCTACTACGGGAGCTGTAGTTCCATCCCCAAGTTTGAGGTCGTTCAGCGTTTTCTTCACGTCAGCCATCACGTTGTCAACCGATTGTTCACATGGTTGATTCGGGTTTTATGTTCTTCGATTCGGGTTTCAGCTTCCGACAGGCGGTTGTCGTGTTGAGCAACCCTATCCTTCACCTCCCTTATCTCTTTCCCAAAGGTAGCGTGAAGGTCCTTCATGAGGAGCATCTGCTCTTCCGACCGACGAGCCTGTTCCGCCTGCTGATCTTCCAACCGACGGGCCTGTTCCTCCTGTCGGCGGGCCTGTTCCTCTTGTCCGCTCTGCAGCTGCTCTTTCAACTGACGGACCTGTTCCTCCTGTCGGCGAGCCTGTTCCTGCAGCATCAACATCAGAGCACCTAAATCAGGTGCTGCAGATGTAGGAGCTACTGACGGGCCTGCAGCCGGCGGCTGGCCCTCCGACGTCTGCGGCGTTGCACCACCAAATCTTCTTTGGTCCGTCTCCTACTGGCGTTGACTTCGGGTACGGACACCCTCCGTTTCCTCCTTAGGTAAAATCGGCATGATTTTATCCACTTCTGACACCAATTGTTACGAGCTTGAGGTTCGTGACAATAAAAATTGCCGATAGAATTACGTAAATTAACACTTTAATTCACTTTACACTAATTAAAGTTAAAATCACTAATAATTAATCACACTGAATCACTTTATTCCGCTCCGAAGCTTCGCTTGTCTCGCCAACTTCAATACTTCCCCGCCGCATCTTGCAGCGCCTATAAATATAAATTAGCACCGAAATATCTGGAATATTCAAGTAAACACGCGCAAGGTACCGAGAGTTCGAGTTTCAACTTCTAGAAGTTTAGTTCTTCGGTTCCAGACTAGATGGCGCTGTCGGTTGACTTAGGTGCGTAACAATATTATCACGGCTTGTTGACTATCTGCTTATAACTTCACACCTACTTTGCATCTAAGCTCATAAATAAAAAAAATTACGTAGCGATAATTATTAACACGTTTTAGATCTAGTGACACAGAGCACTTGTTGCACATATTATGCACTTGACCGCAAATAATTTTTCAGATCAGAAAGCACAGACAAAAAAGAAAAGGAATCAAGTAAAAATGTACCATACAGCAGTTCTGCCAGAGAATCAAATAGTAGCAGTATACCACCAAGTCACAACATAACAGAATCATGTAGTAGTAATAAAGAAGTAAAAAGGAAAGAAGAAACAGCAGGAGAAAGCTTAAAAGTAAAACAAAGGGAGAAGAGCAAGTCACCAACAAATCAGTCGGTGATACATAAAGGTAACAACATTAAACTGTATTAAACAAAGTTGGTTATTTGCCTTTCTACTTGTTCGATTTCAAAAAAAAAAAAGATTTTTTCGCTATTATTATAAGAATTTCTTGACGAACTTTTAATATATGAAAATACATATCATAATGTCGCATCTAATTGTCATTAATTTATTTCAATATTTATATCAAATTTATTAATTAAATAAATAAAAAATTTAATTTATAAGAATGCCATAATTCGAATATTATTTTAAACATTGTGTCAAATTCTTAAATGTATCGTCTACTTATGTGCAAAGAAGTCTTTAATCGAGTAAAAAGATTGCTGGATGAGCCATTTTTTAGGTGAGTTTTCATTCTCATTGTTGGTAACTCTCTAATCACTAGGTATCTTATTTAAAACTTTTATACACATTATGTAACAATTTTTATGGAACTAAGCTGTCCTGCAGGTAGGCATTACCAATCTAGTTGGGTCCCTTTTATCTCTAATAGATTTGTCGCGAGTGCTATGAAATAAACACTGATTTTTTTGACAAATATACACACCTCTTATATATACAGTCCAGTCAGCGTTAGCAAATTATTATTTTTAAATAAAGGTCTACATAATTCAAGGGGCCCGACGTTACATAGAGCTCGTATGTATACATTTCTTTTTACTGATAAATGCCTTATTTATATCAGTCGAGTTTCCCCATACCAACAGACCATACCTCAACACAGATTCGATGTATCCGTAGTATGCAGTAAGCGCAGCCCCTTTCCCAGCGTTCGCTTTCCCTTTTCCTTTCAATATGAATTGAAATTTTCTTATTAATGAATTAATCACTTTATTATTTAATTTTAGATGACTACCGTCCTATAATACCGCCGACTCGAAGACCGGAACAATTCCTCAAAGTGGTGCTTCCTTCCGGCGGGATGGCGGCCAAGCATGCTGCTAGTGCCCCCTACCATATTTTCTACACAACTATAACTGACAGCAGAGAAACGCATAAGATGCCTAACTCGATCACATTCCTAGGTATAACTTTTTTCTCGAAGCAATTAACAAATTTGCTATATCCGGCTCGAAGGACCACTGAAATAATAATGTCCTCCAGACCGAATTTCGGTCACGGCGGCCTGTCTTAACGGAAACTAGCCATCGGTGCAGGACAGGATTATAGTGCCCGAGTATATGCGCAAGCACAGGTGCACTCTCAATTCCCTCACTCTCATAATCCGATGGGACAGTAAACGGCAAACGGGTAGGGAGCATCTCATAAGTACCTTAAGGCACTTCCATATCCATACAAAACGTTCTAGAGACATGAGATTACATATTGAACAAAAAAAAGTTTTAAATAATTTAAAAATAATTGAATAATTTCAAAACTGAACTTTAAATATGAAGCAATGTATTGGAAAATTATGTTTAATAGTTGACTTTTGAATGGCGTAGTCACAGATTATATTCACATTATCATTATTAAAGGTTCAAAATTTATTGTTATTTTTACCGATTTTAAAAAAGCAAGCGGTTCTCATTCGACTGTATTTTTTTATGTGTGTTAGCTCAGAACTATTTTCTAGGTGAACCGATTTTGATGATCTTTTTTATTGCAAAGCTGGTGTCAAGCACTTCTTATGTGGCCCTATATAAATTTGATCAAGATCTGAACGGTAGTTATTCTTAATAATGCATATTTAATTGAATTCGACTACATTGATGATCTTCACATTTTATTTATATTGAAGTCGGTTGTACAAAATTTTTAATTTTACTACCCGTGTGGTTAAAGAATGGCATGGCAATGGCAGCAATGAAAATGGCGTCACCTCTGTTCAACTCTCGCTTGCACACTGTCGCTATCTATACTGCGTTTTTTGCAGTCTTTACCTGTCGGTAAGGACTGCAAAGAAACGTTGCGTTATACGTTTTTCGGTACGTTCTATAAATTCAGTCCAACTTGTCCAAGTGATTGGAATCAATAACAACAAATTCCAAAAAAATATAACAGAAAATTTCCAATTAACCGAATAATATACTGTTATTAGCGGGTTTTCGCTATTGGTACTGTGCATATTGACGGTACAGGCTCGATAAACCGCCATTTATAATCCCATTCTTTATCCGTATCGACTATACCACTTGTTAGTCTTGTTACAAGTGTTGCCAAGAAATGTGTTCTAGTACTTGACCATTGTTACAGAGATCCTGGACCGTAGTCTGGGTGAGCTGAAGTGTTCATTGCAGATCAATTTCATGGTGGAAATTGGATGGTTACTCGCTCAGTACTATTTCGCCGGTTACAGGTAATGCTACGTAAACTTTTTGGAATTTTTCGAAGAATTGCGGTAGTGACTTGCTTGCTTGGACTTTCGTTTCTCGTAAATCTATTGTGTAGCATAATTTTAGGAATTAAAAGTAAGTTAAAATTAATGGGAATTGGGCTCAGAGCCTAAGCTCTCGCTGTAGATTTCGCAGTACGCGAGTAACCCAGGTTCGATCCCCGCTGGCACCAGTGAAATTGATAATTGCAATTTTAAGTGCTGATTTATAACGTGATCGGTGGTGAAGGAAAACATCGCGAGGAACTTGCATGTCTGAAAAATGAAATAAAAAGTATTTCGAAAACGTGAAGTTCGCTAACGCATTGGGGCCACGCGGCGGACATTTCCTTGCCTAAAAACCCACTCAGAAATGATAGGAGGCCTGTGTCCCGCTGTGGGTCATTATGTAGGCTGCAACTTTACTATTTTACTTTTAACTAGTGCATATTTCATATATCCATCATTTACGGTAGTTGAAGAGATTTGGATAGAGTTCAAATCTCAAGACTTAATAATCAGAGACTGTTAAGTTACCTCCATAGAATACTATAATACATACTATATACTCCATAGAATACATATATATACTAATAATACATACAATACTATAATACATAGGGGAGTGGGCGGAGCTCGTGTAGCCACTATCATGTCACTAACATATCCTATAAACTATTTATATTAAGAAATATTTATGTGTCAAAACATTAATCAAAACTCTAAAATGTGTTCGTAGTAGTGATAACTGATAATACGACGTAATTGCTTGTATGTGTGCTCTCGGCGACGTTGATCCTCATACAAAGTAAGGTTGACAGCCATTCTATTGTGTTTTATAGTATTCTATGGTTACCTCTACCATCTATTAATAAGACTTTCTAATTTAATCTAAGAATATCTAATCAACACTTGCTAATAGAGTTTTAAGATGGGCAAACGTTATAAATTGAAAGACCAGTGTAATTTTTCAGTGGGAAGAAGTTAACAATACTCTATGGCGATGACTGCGCAGATATGAAGACCATAAACAAGAAGAAACCGAACGTCGACGCACACTTGGTGTCTATGGCCACACCCTTCGGGAAGCATCACACGTGAGGTTGCTTTATGAAACGTTTAACAAATGTGTAGGCTTTACACTGTATTTTTTCCGCACTAAGATAGTCCAGATCACGGGTGGCAAACCTTTATTTTAATTAGGCAGTAGATATGCTGTAAAATAGTCACCCTTTGATTATATAAATGTCTAGATGCCACATTGTCCGTACAGAACGGCCCAAATAAAGTCTACTAAAATTGGTAGAGTCGCTTCTCACCTACGTCAGTGTCATTTGAATCACTAAGGGATAACGTGCTCACGGAAAATAATTAATTATGCCGGTATGTGCTGTTAAATTGTGTCGTAATTATGTGAGAAAACCGTATAATTACACCAATAGCACTTTTCATCAATAAGTTTTGTTATTTAACCACTATTGTTGTATGAAAACACGATGTTTTAATTCGTTACTTTGTAGGTTAGTCTGACCAGCCGGTGTTGTCAGTTTATTACTAGGGAGTTTTGACGAAACTATGGGAGACAAAATACAAATATTATTACATCACCTTTCGATCAGGAGAACATTATTATTTTAAAAATTACTTTAGTTATTTGATCAGTAAATGTTATGTCCTACACAAAATAAATGAAACCCATGACGTCATGCACTAAATAGTATTTTTGTTAGTTCTTTCAATTATTATTATATATTTAAATAAAATAAATAAAACAAATTTACATAATAATTTTTTAAACCTATTTTGTTTAACTTTCATCTGATAAAAAGGAGTATATAATCAAAGCCTCCGCCCTTTGTTCTCCTCTGGCGAAATCATCTGGTTGGATTTTATTTATTAATATATTTTATTTATAAAAAAAAACATAAACACTCACGCCTGTCACCCAGAGGGGTAGGCAGAGACTACAGACTTCCATTTAGCACGATCCTGACATACCTTTCTCGCCTCTTCCACATCCATATACCTACGCATACATGCTCGTCGGTTAAGGGTACTCTTAATTTGGCCCATTTTTAGTATATCGCCAATTCGACACAACAAAACTTCCGCCTAGGACGTCCCTTTCCGACTCTTCCATTCACTTCTGCAACATATATTTGCTTTGTCAGTCTTTCCGCATTCATTCTTTCTACATGAACAAACCACCGAAGCATTCCTTTCTTAATCCTGGTCACCGCATCATCTTGCAAACCACACTCTTCTTTTATCACACAGTTTCTCACCCTGTCACTCAGATTCAGCCCTAACATACTCCTTAGCGACCGCATTTCTATTTTATTTATGTATTTGATTTTATCGATATGTATGTATATTCATCATTTTCATTTATATATTTATAAAACTATGACTAAAACTACACATACACATGACTAAAAATACATAAATACCAAAACTAACTATATAAACAACAATAAACATGGTACATTAAAGATGACAAAAAGTTGTCATAGTCCACATGTTTACCATATCTGACATGTGAAATTAACATAATGTATCAAATCATTATTTTTATAAGTAAGCAAGTCAGTATATAAATAATTTATATCAAATTAAATAAAATTAATTAACAGTACAATTGTCATGTGAATCTTTATTATTTTGTAACTAGGCAAATCAAAATAAGTATATATATAAAAAAATTAAAATGACAAATGAGTGCTTAATATAATGGGAAATATTCAAGAGTTGGTATCACTCAGCTACCCCCCGAGGGACGCAGCGCGCTTTTAGTTACGCATACTTGTGTGTGTAATAAGCACACAAGCTCTCGAAATCGGACCCGTTGTTTTTGTTACGATTGTAGCGAAACATTCTATCTAGACATGTATATAATCAAAGTAGTCACCATTGTAGTGCCATGTTGTATAGTACTGAATCGAACCAGTAAGTCGATATTTCACCCTAGTAAATCGAGATCGAATCTTTTTCTGTTTTCATATGAACTATAAAATTATTTACATAAGTGCTTGTGTAAACTTATGATATGTAGAAAACCAAAACAAAATAAAGAGTCTTTGTCGAAGTACCATAAACTAATTACTATCCTAATTAGATAAAAATTAATAAATAAAACAATAGGTCTTTTTCGCGGAAACATTCACAAAAATATTTGTAGACGTAATTACTACTACGCACTACTGTAAAGAAGTGGGTCAAGGAATGGGAATGGGAATTTGATTTCGGTGGGGCGGGGTAGGGGGCACGTGTCGCCTGCGTTGTCCGCTCGCCGACAAAGTTTCTTTTCTTCTATAGTATTGTTGCGCGAATAAGACGATGGCACTAGCGCCGTCTGGTGTCGGGTAACAGAGCGAGGAGAGCTTTCCAGAAAATACATGACTAGTCTTTCAACCAACAGCGCCATCTAGTATCGAACAGAAGAATTAAGCTTTCTGGAAGCCGCACACTCGAACTTTCTGCGCTTGGTCGGTTGGCGCGCGTATTTACTTGAATATTCTGGATGTTTTCGTGGAAGAGCCCTATATAAAGGCGCTGCAATACGCGATCGGGGAAGTATTGAATTCGGCGAGACAAGCGAAGCTTCGGAGCGAAATAGAGTGAATTAGTGTGCTTAATTATTAGTGTTTTAAGTTTTAATTTGTGTAAAGAAAATTAAAGTGTTAATTTAGGTAATTTTATCGGCAATTTTTATTGTCACGAACCTCAAGCTCGTAACAATATTGCTTATTCGTTTTAATTTCAATGACGCGATGTTATGATCCGCGACTCCGGCAAAAAGACCGCTGCGCGACAGTTCTCTAAGTACAGGTTGCTCTAAGATGCTATTTTCTAAAATTTTAAGTAAATCCGTAAATAATGACGTTTAATGGAAATATAATTTCTTCATGAAACGAAAATGTGAAAACGTATATGTGTGTTAAATTAAAGTCACCATTGTTGCAGCACGTTGTATATCGTTAAAAAAATCTATCTTTTTGGCACAAGAAATCGCTTATTCGATTAATCGATCTCAGATCGACATGCCTAATAAGAAGTCCTATCACCTAGTACCATCCTCTAACTACACATTCTCTTATATGATAGGTCGGAGAAAAAGTATCGTCGTATTTTGTTTGTATAAAATTGAAGAAAAATCTGTTCTGTTGTACTGTTTTTATCGGGCTGGTTTTAAAATCAATACATATAGACGTTAAGAAAAAGAAAAAGTAAAAAACACTCCCGTCATTTTTCAATTGTTTTCCAGTCTTCCAAAATGAGTGAATCTAACGAAGAAATTGGATACACTGTAAAATTTTAATACAAAAAAAGGCGGAAAAGTTTGTGACGTTAATGAACCTAATGCAGTGTCAATATTTAGAAACTTTTTCCCCGAGCTTATATTTCGTGGACAGTCGTCGGATATAGGTGTGGCTTACGACCATGCTTTGTGGCATCCTTTGGGGGAGACCTTTCTTCAGTAGTGGATTTGTGATGTTTTGTAATGATAATGATGATATTACAGACACTAGTTCCGTGCAGGAATCGAACTCTTAGTCCTGCTGTGCCGCAGTCAAATGTTTAGCCACGCCGCTACTGAGCCATGAAACAAAACATATTTCGCTACATCAATAATATATTCTACTACAGATATTTTGTTAACTTTTTTATAAAAGTCAATAGGCACATGTCATTTTTTTTGCCTCAATTTTTGTTGTAAATCAAGTTCAAATTTATTTATTTATATATAAATACGAATTTCTATAGTTTTTAATAATTCCAACAAAAGATTAGTCATATTCTACCTTTTGGTGTCCAATTAATTAAGTCCCAAAACAATTAGTAATTGTTTTATCGTCCATTTTGAGACATATGATTTTTTTTGTGAATAGAAAAATTGTAATTTTATGTAATTTTTAATTTTTTTACAGGGTAGAGCTTAGCTACTGAGCATTTCAGCTGCTTTCTGAATGGGTTGGCTCGAGGGACCATGTTTCCTTGCAAAAACCAGCATTAAACAGCAGTATAATACTGCGATTTAGTTTTTTTTAATATAGAATAAGGGTGAAAACCGAGCACACAGTTGATCTGATGGTATGTAGATGCTGTGGTCCATAGACCTACATTTATCCTAGATTAATAATTAAAACGAAGATGCGTAGTCACCCCTGAGGACTCGGATGGAATGCTTCGTTTCCAGTAAAAGAAAAGTCTCTGGATCTCTACACTCACCATACGAAACACAGCTGTATTAAGCTGCTATTTTACGCTGGTATTCTGTGAGAGCGTGGCTCTACCACGCATGATAGGCGACGAGAACCGAAGATCTTTGTTACTGGTAACGAGGCATTTCATCTTCGTGTTCTATTTTGGCTCTTAATCGAGGTCGGACGTAGGTAAATGCGTTTGGGCCACAGCATCTACATCGTCAGATACTCTTAACTATTAGCCATCTGGGCAACCAGCAATGACAACGGGCCGTGAAATGCCGACGAAGAGTATCCACTACCTCATACCATCCCGTGGGTGTCGCAAGAGGCGACTGAGGGAAGCTGAAGCGGAAGATCATCTTCCATATAACAATTGAAAATAATTAAAAACTTCGGTTGCCGGTAAATTATGGGGGGAGGTCTATATTCACTTTTAATAGTGTTGCACGCCACAATTAATGCCTATACATGGCGACACTAGTTATCACTAACGCCTTCTAGTATCGAGTAGCAGAACTAGGAGAGTCAAGATCCTTCTAGAAATTTCCATAGAAGAACGTTCTATAACTATCGGCTCTAGGTGTTTCTACAGTAGAAGGTTCTGGAACTATCTATTCCGGTTTTATATAGAGCATATATGACTGCCTCGTTGGTCTAGTGGTTGTAGTAGTGTGACTGCTGATCATGAGGTCCTGGGTTCGAATCCCGGGTCAGGCCAAAAAATCAATTATTGAGTTTTTGTGTCAAGAAATTCTCAGTAGCTGCCCGGAGTCAGGAAGTTGGCGGTGTCACCCCCGTGCCTCGGAAAGCACGTAAAGCCGTTGATCCTGCTCCTGATCGCTCTCCGGTCGTGTCGGTTTACCGTCCCATCGGATTATGAGAGTGAGGGAATAGAGAGTGCACCTGTGCTTGCGCATACACTTGGGCACTATAATCCTGTCCTGCGCCGATGGCTAGCCTCCGTTGAGGTAGGCCGCCGTGACCGAAATTCGGTCTGGAGGACATTATTATTATAAGGCTGGTATCGACCGCGACCCGAGTCATTATTGAATTGGCGATTCAAGCGAATACTTCGAAGCGATTGCGAAGCGAACTGTGAACTAAAGTGATCAGTAGTACAATTGCGTTTTGTTATCAGTGTGGTTTTAAGCTGTAATTCGTTTTCTGTAATTAAAGTGTCAATTTTGGTTATTCACTCGGCAGTTTTTAATTGTTTCGAACCCCAAACTCGTAACAATAGGTTTTAATGAATTATAAATTGTGGCTCTCATATTGCAGGAAGATGATGCTTCTCTGTTATGAGGACGGGTCGCTAAGAGTGGTCGTATCGACCGCCAACCTCTATGTCGATGACTGGGATAACAGAACACAGGGGTAAGTTAATTTTATTGGATACGACACTGGAAAATTTTCCTTGTATTTAAAGGCTATTTGGTTGATCGAGTTTTGCTTCATTTTGGGATTTTTTTTTCATGACACCTACACTTACACTTAACAATTGAAAAGTTAAACATTATCTAATGACAAAATTTCTTCCAAAGCGTCAGAGCACTTTCCGAGTAACCTTTAGAAGTGAATAGAAAAATTTGTACAGTTTTTAAGCATATTGCATTTACATATTACTGTACTACGTTTACATATTAATGTATTTACATACTAATGTATATTCGACAAAGCCGAAAAAATGGACTCGGCTCCTCGCCGTATGGTAGCGGCGTAAAATCTACCACCACCCCTTGTTCGCACCATGAGTCAGGAAATAAAAGAAATGGGCCCGAGTTCCCGGCGCCCCTTTAATGGGGCAAGGGTGCGAAGAATCTCCGGGAGGAAAACCGGCGACGAGGTTCGCCACCCGTCACGTTCTGTCTCCCGGAGGGGCGAAAAGTGGATTGCGGAAAGGATATAGAACGACGAGTAAATGCAGGAAATAGAGTGAATCAAAAAAGACACGTATGGTAATTCATAATGCTGTGTTAGTCCCTACTTTATTGTATGGTAGTGAAAGCTGGGTGTGGCAGAAGAAGCACGAAAGTAGAATAAATGCTGTAGAAATGCGGTCTTTAAGGAGTATGCTAGGGTTGAATCTGAATGACAGGGTGAGAAATTGCGTGATAAGAGATAAATGTGGTATGCAAGATGATGTTGTGACCAGGATTAAGAAAGGAATGCTTCGGTGGTTTGGTTATGTGGAAAGAATGAATGAGGAAAGAGTGACAAAGCAAATTTATATGGCAGATGTGAACGGCCGAGTCGGGAAGGGACACCCTAGAAAAAAGTTTATCGACCAAATTGGCGATATTTTGAAAATGGGCCACGTTAGAAATACCCTTAACCGACGAGCATGTATGCGTAGATATAAAGGAGGCGAAAGAGGTATGTCAGGATCGTGCCAAATGGAAGTCCGTAGTCTCTGCCTACCCCTCTGGGCGACAGGCGTGAGTGTTTATGTTATTATGTTATTATTATATTAATGTAAGATTTGTAATAGTTAATGTTTATATGGGGAAGGATTGTGGAAAGCTATAATGTATGTATGATATGTGTTATAAATACATTAAATTAAGTAAAACATACATTGTTTACATTCAGACTACTAATGTCAAGCACAAAATAGTCTAGTGTTAAACCTTAGAGTAATAACATACTTAAGAACAGTCGCATAGAGTTTTAAAACCGCCAAAGAATTTTAAAATGTTGCCAGAAAATAATTACAAATGCTCCTTTATCAATAATATGTGGTAAAACATAATCTATTTTATATTTTGTATATTAGATATCTGTGCTTTATATGTTTATGTGCAGTAGAAAATACTATACAGTTTAACAAACTTAAAAGTTTAATGAATTTCTTGAAATCCTATAAAGGACGGACTGAGTGGTTGAAATTTGACCGATCACATGCTTCTGATAATTACTGAATTTATAAATTTTATGGCGGTTTTGCTGACCTCTGTTGTCAATTAAAGCAAAGTGACCTGGTTCACCAGATTAAGTTATGCAGTTCTTATCATTAAAAATGGAATTTCGAAATTATTAATAGAAAATATGTTGTATTAGCAATGCGACTTCGTTTCGGACACATTACGTGTAACAAGTTTGCTTTCATGATGAAAAAGAAACGATCTCCGAATTGCCAAACATGCAAGACAATAGAAGATGTACAACACTTCCTCGCGGAATGTTCCAAATATCGTCATGAAAGGAAACTACTAGTTGTCAAAACTGACATTAAATATGTAACCTAGGGGAATATTAAAGCATTCTGTCTGAACCATTGTCTAATGCTGCTTGTAGAACTTTTATAGAATAATATTCACTACACTTAACACTGGCTCACTATAACACCAAGTCCTGCTGGGTACACGTCCTACCTCGGAGCACTCCACAAGGCAACTGCTCGCCGGCACTCAGTGCAACAACCGAATGACGTGTTACCCCCCACCACTTGTGTATATGAGACAGTGTATTGAATCTATTGTATAGACACAACACTACATCCCTTCCTTACGAAGGAATTTTTTACTCAAATGAAATACATTTTTAATCCAAATAACATTTAAATAATGGACTTATTTCTTGAATCAATACAAAATCAAAAAATAAATTTAACTTAATTTGCATCGTTATGATCTTCCCTTTCATGACCTTCTGAGGATGATGTGGTCTCATCACGGATAGAGTTCCATATTCCATCTATTTTCTTTAAATGCATAACATTTCTCCGTAATCTTTGTCCGGTCTCTTCATTTCTCATTGTGATATCTCCACCTACCGATTTCTCTACAACGTGCGGGGTAGGGCTGAAGTTAGCAGTTAGTTTGTTTGGTCTTTCCATATGTTTTAAATAAACTTTATCTCCTTCTATTATTTCAGAATTTTTTGCTCTTCTTTTCCGGTCTCCATATTCTTTACCTTTTTTCTTTTGTAGTTTATCTCGGTCCCTAATTTCTGAATAGTTTTCTTCGCTATTGATGTTTTAAACATAGGTATTTTGTCTCTGTTTTGACGATTAAAGAAAAGTTCTGATGGTGATTTCCCTGGTACTGAATGTGGAGTAGAATTATACATCATCAGGTATTCATACAATGTCTCTTTCAAATCTTTTTTTTCAAGTTGACTGATTCTTAGTCGTTTTAATATGTCACGATTTTGGCGCTCTACTTCGCCATTCATCTGGGGCCAATATGGTATAGAATTTAATAATTTAATATCACACTCAGAACAAAAGCTTTTAAATTCTTCACTAATAAATTGACGCCCATTATCTGCACTAATTGAAACTGGGTAGCCGAGGCGACTAAATATATCTTTTAAATTTTGTATTATTTGTACACTATTGATGATTTTGGTTATCTTGATTTCTTTGTAACGACTGAAATAGTCAATTACTACCAGAAGGTAATCGTTGCTTGGTAGTGGTCCTAACAAATCCATTGCGATGTCGACCCATGGTGCTGATGGAAGTTCCCGCCGTTTCATAGGTACAGATGGATTTGGCAGTCCCACAAGAGTGCACCCTTTGCAGCTCTTGACTAACATCTCGACATCTTTATCAATCTTTGGCCACCAGACTTTAGCTCTTAAGCGTTCTTTCATGGACACGATCCCAGGGTGACCTTCATGGGCTGACACTAATACTTGTTTCCTTAATTTGTTTGGAATTACAATTCTATTTCCTCTCAAGAGAATATTGTCATAAAAACAAAGTTCATTTTCAAAAAATTTTAAGTTCTTAATTGACTCATCCCACTGATTTTTATGGAGTCCATTTCTTACGTTCGTTATTTCTAAGTAGCTTTCGGAGTATGCAATTATATCTCGCATAGCATGTGGTTTTGCTAATTGTACTATTTGGCATACATAGTCATCCTGTATAGATTGTACATGTGTTTCCCTGCATAATCGTGATAGTGGATCTGCAATGTTTGTATTTCCTGGCTTATATTTTATCTTATATCTGTAAGCCTGTAATTTCAATACCCATCTTTCGACGCGGGCACATGGCTTTGACTTGGGACTAAATAGGAATTCCAATGGCTTATGGTCAGTGATCAAATCAAATTCTTTTCCAAACAGGAACGTGTTAAAGTGTTCGATAGCCCAAACAAGAGCAAGGGCTTCCTTCTCAGTTTGGCTGTATTTTCGTTCACAATTTGTTAAAGTCTGATTCCCATAACCAATGATTCTGGGACCCCCTTCATCAGTTTGTACCAAAACAGCTCCTAATCCAACAGGGCTCGCATCCGCTATAACTTGGGTCTTGTCTTTGACGTCATAATATCCTAAGGTTTCTATTTTTGTTAACTTTTCTTTGAGACACCTAAATGCATGGTCCTGTTTTTCTGTCCAGTATTTTTCTATGTTAGCCTTTTTTCCTAATTTCCTCCTAAGTAATTCTTTTAATGGTTCGTTAATTGTAGCTAATTTAGGAATCCATTTATTTATGTAATTTACTAAACCAAGAAAACTTTGTAACTCATCAATTGTTTTTGGTACTCTAAATTCGGTTATACTTTTGATATATTTAGGTAGAGGTGTTACCCCATCTGGTGTTAATTCGTGTCCTAGAAATTTAACTTTTTGCACTTTATACAAACATTTATCTTTATTGAGCAGGACATTATTTTCATTTAAAACATACAATACTTGTGATAGTCGCAAATCATGTTCTTCTTCACTGCTGCCCCAAATTAAAATGTCATCGATAAAGTTAATAACTCCTTCACATTTAATTACCATTTTTTCTAAGATTTTTTGACTTGTGACTCCAAACATAAGTCTTTTATATCTGTAAGGTCCACTAGAAGTTACAAAGGTGGTTAAATATCTAGAGTTGGGATGCAGCTCAACTTGATGGAAAGCATTTTTAATATCTAGTTTTGAAAAATACTTTGCTTTTCTTATTTTCGGCAGCAAGTGGTCCATACTAGGCAGTGGATGGTTTTCTCTGAGAATTGCTGTATTAGCTCGCCTCATGTCGACACACAGGCGTATATCTCCATTATCTTTTAATATTGGTACAATAGGCGACACCCACAAGGATGGTTCATTTACTTCTTCAATAATATCGGCATCTAATAACTCCTTTATCTTCCTTTTTATATTTTCCTCGATTGGAATAGGTATTCTACGATAAGGCTGAATTACAGGTTTTATGGATTTATTGATCGGAATCTGCACTAAAACATCTTTAAATTTTGGAAACGGCTTGATTAGTGCTTGATCAACGTGATTAATGCCAACGCCCACTTTTAACACTCCTAAGCGTATTGCTGAATCTTTTCCTAATAAATTCCTGGATCCGTTTTGTATGACATAAATAGTGCAGGGATCAGTTTTTCCATTTGTTCTAATTTCAGTTTCAAATGAACCTT